ATATTAAAGAAAGCATATGCCATTAAAAGGATCAGTGTCTCAACATACACACACTCTGTGTGTTAATTACACTGCCATTCAATAGTTTGGGGTCAGAATTGTTTTACATTTTTTTGAAGACTGCATTTATTTAATCAAAAACACAGTTAAAACATAAGTGTTTTCTATTTCAATAGATTTAAATATGTAATTTATTCATGTGAGGTCAAAGCTGAATTTGTCACATTCTAATGTTAATTTGGTGCTCGAGAAACATTTATGATTATTATTGTATGTTGAAAACAATAAAACAAAAAGCTGCTTAATATTTTTGTGGAAACCATGATACATTTTTTGGGATTATCTGATGAACAAAGTTAAAAAGAACAGCATTTATTTTAAATAGGAATCTTTCTTAACATTATGAATGTCTTTACGGTCACTTTTGATCAATTTAATGCATCCTTGCAGAATAAAAGCATAAATATATATTTTTAAATCTTATTGACCCCAAATATGTATACACTGTTTAGAGAGAGAGAAAGAAAGAAAGAAAAATGACTGTCTATTGTGTTACTGATTAATTATTCAATACTGACAAAAAAATTGTCCAAAAATATTCACTGATCTTAATTTCTTTCCTTGAATGTTACATGCCATAGTTTTTTCTTTTAAAATAAAGAAATGTGTCAAATAAAATTTTAGTTGTTCTATTGAAATAAGCATTGACCATTTTTAAGAGGTGAAAAATGGGAATTGTTGTTATTGTGCCAACTCACCTGTGGGATGCTAATGCCCTTCCTGATCTGCTCCTGCTCCCAGCGACTCATTTCCTCATCCTGCCCATCATTTAGAGCTTCATCATCACTGCATTCAATACCTGAACCCCAACACATACACACACACATTCAAAACAAACACTAAGGTCAGACCGTGGTTCACTGCACATCTTTTCCAGTATGTGATTTCCAACAAAAGCCCTATTCATAGTAATTCAGTCTTTTTTGTGACATATTCAACGTGACATGACATTTATTACAAGGACAGTCTGTCTGGAGAGCTGGTGAATGGGGATTCCTAAAATTCTACATAAATAGGAGCTTCAGACGACTAGCTCTGAGCTTCATTCACTGACCGATCTCCTCCGCTATTTTCTGCCTCTGACTCTTCATCTTGACTCCACTGAAGACGATTCTCTTCTCGTCTTCATCATCACTGCCGTCGTTCTCATCTTCATGAGTGAGGCGCTTGTTTGTAGCCTCATTCTCGACCAGCGGAGCTTCTCCCCCGAGCTCTCGAGCCATCTGCCTACGTTTACGAGCAGCATGAATAAAGGCCGCGTCGGGGATCTCGCCTGTTGAAACGTATGACAGTTATTGTTGCCGTAAACACAATGACTTATTTTCACATGACTTAGTTTAACCAGAAAGAACCTAAATGGACTAAAAGCTTTTGCCATTTAAAAACGGGGATTTGATCAAATGCAGTGTTTAACAACACTCAATGTTTAACCACAATAACCATCAGCAGGTTCCAGCCCTGTATGACTGTTCTCGAAGCGTTTAAAAAGCAAAAACAGCTTAATCATGCTGACGCTGGTCCTGTGACTTGCTCTACATGTCCGGTCTAGATTGATGGGAGCTCTCACCTGGTCTGAGTGAGCTGAGAGCCGACAGAGTTTGGCTAAACGCTCCACCCGCAGGCCTTTGCTCACCATCCTCCTCCTGTTCCTCATTGCTGTCCACCTCCATTTCTTCTTCTCCCTGTTCACTGCTGGCTCTGCTGCCCTCCAAGGGCTCCTCTTTAATTGACAAATTCTGAGCAGGTCCACCTGGACAAACTGGTGAGCGATAATACAAACTTACTATGTAATCTTGAACTAGCTAGATGGTCTAGTGGTAAAGATTTCTGAGGGTTTGTAATACTTTTAGGGTCTAAACTACAATGGAAGAAAAATAACCCTAGAACAAATGGGGTCACACATTGTAAAAAATTTGGTGCGCAAGCATGTACAAAGAAACAGAAAGTAGCGCATTGAATTGAACTTTGAAGTAGAAAAACCAAAATAGCATTTTCTTGTAAAAATTTAATATTTTATAGTAATCGCTTTATTTACAAGTTTTAACTTTTTTTTTTTTTGGTTACAATGTATGCAATTCTCTAAGAAAAATTCATTAATGCTTCTTTCTGATGAGAATGCACTTTTTTTTTTTTTTAGAAACTACATGAATTTTTTTTTAAAACATTTATTTAATTAGATGTTTTCCTCAAAATAAAAAGCAGTCCCCTGACTTTGATCTATAAACATGCATGACCGATATCATGACAAAAAAAAATTATTGTACCAATGCGTGTGTTTTGATCCTGTATGGCACTGTCGGTCTTTTCCAAATCATCCTTGTATTCTTTCTTCAGCTGCTTGACAATCTTCTTGCTGTGGTTGGATTTCTTCACACGGAACACTTCAGTCTCATCTAACAGTGACAGATACATAGTGAAATGCATGAAATTATCAGTGCAATTCACTAGGAGTTACATTGCAAAGTATTTTTCAGGGTCCTCACACTTTTTGATCAATTAATTAACATGACCTTTTCTTTTTTTATGATTAATTAATAAGGGTATAAAAAAAAACATTCAATTTTTTAAAAGCAGTTTTAAAATTCTCCATATTATTTCATATTTCCGTAACATTGAAATCCCGACTCTTACTTAATCATTGTAATATTACCATATTGGTCTTTAGCCAATCATTTGTTATATTCACATATGCAGAGTCCTAATTGGTCAGTATTACTAGCTAATTTCATGTGCTAAATAGCTCGTGTTTTTCGGTTAGTGGCTGTCACTTTAATGACACGAACTGTTATAGAATTTCAATAGACTGCAATCAGATGGTTAACTACACTGCAAAACTCTAACACGAATCATTTGTGAAACGTTAAGTTTTCATATGTGTCTTCCATGGCAGTTCATACGCGCCTTCATCATCGCGGAAGCTCAGCAGACTCGCTTTAGGTTCCTCTCGGTTCTCAATCTTTCTCTTCTTCTCTTTGTTGAACTTGACAGCACCGAGCTGAAACCCGTTTCCGTGATTGTTGAGCGTGTTTGCTGCAGGAGCGGGGCCGGTGGTGCTGGTGGACTCCCTCGGGTTCGCCGAGTCTTCAGCCCCGGGCCCGCCGGACTGCTGGTCCTCCTCTTTCTCCTCATCTTCAGAGTCATTCCTCCGTCTGAAATTGCACCTCTTGGCTTTCTTAAACATGGTGATGTAACGTAGTGTGCAACGCCTCTAGTAGAGTGTGTACAGACTGATGTTTAGGTTTTTGCAGGGCGCCAATGTTGATAACAAGTCCACCATTTTGCCTTTGGCGGAAACGTTTATGTACCTCTGTGGATGTTAAGATTTGCTGAGCGGCATCGGGACCTCGCTGCTGCCATCTAGAGGAGAGGTGCTCGAACAATTTTCCAAGTGTTGGTAATGTATTCATACGAGATTACCTGCAAACATTATAAAAAAAAAAAAAAACCTGTAATTTATTTTCAGTAACTAATGATCAGTGTTGGGAAGGTTACTTCGGAAATGTATTAGCCTAGGTTACAAGTTACCCAAATCTAAAATGTAGGCTAATAAGTAGGAGTGTAACTATTTCAATTACTTTATTAAAGTAATGTAACTGATTACTTTTCTACATTTCTAATGCTTTCAACTATTAATCATTTTCAAACATTTAAAGCAGGCAGGATTAATCTTACAGTAGGACTCAACGCTGATTACTGTCAGAATCCTTCACCACTTGAATTAAGATGATAATAATTTAATTTTAAAGCACAGCCACCACAAAAGCAGACGTATAGCACCTCTTTTTACTTTGAGATCGTTCGGAGGTTAAATACAGATGTAAAACCAAACAAGGAATAGTTTAATAGCTATGATACTGTTTTTGAAATCAAATCTTGCCTAGTTATGACAGGAAAAACTGGCATCTAACATGGCTTGGAAAAAACAGTTAATCTTAAAAAATAAAGCATACACATAAACCCAAATAGTACATAAAACAGTTATCAAATAAGCACAGATTAACATAAAAAGATGATTTCAAAATATTCTTTTTATTTAAAGTGTGTATTCGTGAGGAAATGGAAAATAAATATACTGAAAGAACACAACTGTTTTTTATTTCATATGATAATTTGAAATTGGAAATATTGTTATAAGGCAAACAAAATGTTAAAAATGAGTTAATTAACAATTAACCTCACACACCTGTAGGTAACTGATATGTGCTTAGGGACACAGACCAAACCAAGGCCAAATACAAAACACCTCAACAATTCTGCACACTATCAACTGCACATATATACTTTATTAACAATGTTTCGGTCCTATGACCTTCATCAGGCATACAAAAATATTCAGGCACAACCTCATTTAAAAACAACATATGATCAATCACAAAATGTCGTAACACATCATAGTAGAAACATCTTGTAGAAAGGTTATCTCAAAACAAAATTTTACTCACGTCATATTGCAATAGACTGAAATACAATACATTAATAATGTCACTCTATAGCATCAGCATTTATACCCATAGGTGAAGTATGGAGAGTAAATATCCAGAATAACTCAATTTCAGAGTTACACATTTTAAAACACACATGATGAAGGACTGCAGTGACAGCTTTTACTCGTATACTATTGTTTGTTTAGTATTATTTATATTCTGTTATAGTATTTATTAACTTTTGAATTGGTTTTTTTATACATGTTCAGTTTTCATGTTAAATTTACTTTAAGTTTTAGTATCATTTTGTATGTTTGTTTTTAGGTTAGTTACGTTTAATGTATGTTTACTAAACTTTATTTCAGGCAACATTTCTAATTTTTCAAGTTTAAGTTTTTCACCTGATGTTTGTACTTTATTTCAGTCAGATAATGAATACAATAGCTTTAACAGTTCTAGTTAACAATAACAACACTGATATCAATATAATACAATATTGATGTGATAATACTATTTCTGAATCACACTGCCTCATCTATGTAGTTAGATCACATAGTTTCACACTTGATCCTCTTAAAACCGTAAAGCCAGGATAGAGAGGCTGAGTGAATATGGTCTTGACTCTTTTGAGAAGGGTCATTGTGTCAGAGACGCTGTAGAAGGACAGAGTCCCTGCACTGTGATCCACATACACTCCTATTCTAGAGGACTGTAGGGGTGCCACGATTTTACTGTGTGCAGAATTATGTGTGAATAACAGATCTAAGTTAGTGTTTCGCAATGTCCAGGATTGATCATTAAATCCAAACTCACCCTCGACACCCTTCCTGTCGAAGCTCTTATAAGACACTGATATTCCCACCCAACAATTCCCACTCCACTCAACCTCCCAGTACGCACGTCCACACACACTCTCTCTACACAACACTTGAGGGCTGACTTTAAATCTGTCTGGATGTGCAATACACAGCTGGCCTTTGTCAGTATAAGTAACTACAGTGTTCCTCTGAGACAGATGGAGGTGGGTATTTGCTGTGTTTGGATCCAGACTGAGTTGACAGGAAGCTGAAAGAAATAAAATAATAAGAAACATACATATATATTATAAAGAAATACACAGATTAGAAATAAACATAAAGAATGAAACAGTAAAATTAATAAAATTAAAATGAATTAATTTTTTATTAATTTTAAATGTATTCAAATAAAAAAGATTGTTTGTAATATTTCAATCGTGTTTAATCTTTGTTCAATGAGTAGTGAACAATAAGACAAAAAAAGAAAGAAAACTTGTATTACTGTAGACAAATTTATGTAATCAAGAATTAATGGGCTTTATACTATTAATCAATTAATTATTTAAGAATATGTAAATAATACTATGTAGTGAATTTGTATGGAATGATGTTTAATACTTTTGTGTCAAAGAAAGAATGGCATTCAGGAAAATAATTTGTTTTCCTGTAAATGAAGAAACACAGACAGATAGACATAGATAGATGGATGGACGGACGGACGGACGGACGGACGGACAGACAGACAGACAGACATAGATAGATAGATAGATAGATAGATAGATAGATAGATAGATAGATAGATAGATAGACAGACAGACAAAGATAGATAGACAGACAGACAGAGATAGACAGACAGACAGACAGACAGACAGACAGACAAAGATAGATAGATAGACAGACATATATAGAAAGATAGACAGACAGACAGACATAGATAAATAGATAGATAGATAGATAGATACAGACAGACAAAGATAGATAGACAGACAGACAGACAGACAGACATAGATAGATATATATAGAAAGATAGACAGACAGACAGACATAGATAAATAGATAGATAGATAGATAGATACAGACAGACAGACAGACAAAGATAGACAGACAGACAGACAGACAGACATAGATATATAGAAAGATAGACAGACAGACAGACAGAGATAGACAGACAGACAAACAGACAGAGTTAGATAGACAGACAGACAGACAGACAGACATACATACATAGATAGACAGACAGACAGACAGACATAGATAGACAGACAGAGACAGAGAGATTGAGATAAAGAAAATTATAAAACATCATTCCATACATGTAGATAGATCGACAGACAGACAGACAGACATATAGACAGATGGATAGAACACCTACATTGTAAGAACTCCTCCCTAGTCTTGGGATTATTGGTGGCAGTGATCTGGATGTATTTCACTATGGAGACCAATGGAAAAGTGTGATGTTTTTATGCAAATGTATTTCAAATATACAGTTTAAACATTTATACAACATGAGAACTATATGTTATAGTTGTTAAATATATCTATAAATTGTATACATCACACCTATAAGTTGCAAGGATGCATCAGGTCACCAGTATTTTACCTCTAGCAGAAATCCGTTCCATCTCCTCTTTACAGAAATCTTCCAGTATCCCTCTCAGCAGAGAGACAGATTTTCCAATATTATCAAAAGAGAGCTGGGAACTGACAGTGATGTTGAGTATGTTCACATAAAGCAAAACAGGAGGCCTAAAATTCTACAGACACAAAAACAGAACTACAATAAAGTCATCAAACTTAAATAAATGAAATCGACTTTTTGCAGGATTTCAATGATAATTCTACTCTACATAAATGTTACACAGATTAAATCCTTATATTATTGGTTAAAGAACTTATCAATAAATAAAATGAGTAAAAGTCCTCTTTAATATCAGGATCCTGTCACCTGAAGGAAATGGATGTGATCGTCTGTGTGTGACAACTGCTCCAGCTCCGTGTCTCTCCTCTTCAGTAAATCAATTGATGACTCCAGTCTCTTCAAGAGCTTTTCAGCTTGATTCACTGCAGCCTTTTCCTGAGCTCTGATCAGCTGTGTGACCTCAGAACGTCTTCTCTCAATGGAGTGGATCAGTTCGGTGAAGATCCTCTCACTGTAATCCACTGCTGCCTGAGCGGAGCGCTGTTAGGACACACAAAGCCAGGGTTCTCAGACAGGATGGAAAGTGGCCCGACACTGGACTTCCATGTTAACCTTTTCCAGTTCTCCTCTAAAAACTCACCTTGTGAGAATCCACAGCCTTTCTAAGCTCCTGAAGTTTTTGCTCGTTCTGCTGGATTTCCTCAGTGTATTGTCTGCGTATTTCCTCTAATCGCCCCTGTTGAACAAAGAATGAACAGTAAACTGAGAAATGTTCTTCAATATCAGTTCCTATGAGATTTTCAAAACTCAGCCTGGGTTTCATTTCATACAATCATACAGACCACTGGTGCCAAATAACTTTTATATTGTTATTAATGTTTCAAGATGAACATTTACTGGACTGAAACAACATAGGTTCACTTGATTATTCATACATCTTTTTTTTTTTTTAGGAAAATCGTGTTAAAATGTGAGTCATATATGATATATCAGGCTTTTGAGGAACTTTTACATCTCAGTCATCACTGTATTGCACTGCATTTTATGTTTATTTCTCCCTAAAATTAATATCAGGAAGCTTAAGTATTTAAATATCATCTTACTGTATATTTTTTAGTTTTTTGTTATTTTAGTACATCAAGTTTACAGTAGCACATCAACTAAATAAAAATGTGAAATGTTGCCTTGGCAACTAGCATGAATACAATGTTTTATTTCAGTTAACAAGTAACAAAAATGTTTTTGTTTAATGATTTTATTATTATTATTTTATCTTTATTACCTATAGTACCTAAAGTACCTATATATTACCTATAGTACAACTAAAAATAACCTGCATACAAGTCATAATAATAATAATAATAATAATAATAAGCAATGACTTATTAATAATAATAACTAGCAATGACTTGCTAAGTCCTAATTATTACATAAAAAGTCAAAATATTACAAAATGTTTAAATTAGAAGACAAAATGACCATAATTGACTTTTAATGTCATCATTTCAATTTTTGCCATGATTGTGAATTTTATAGTATAATTTTGACTTTTTAATCTTATAATTATGACTTGTGACCTATGATTTTTATTTCATAATTATGATTTACCAAAGCATGATTTTTTTTTCGGTAATGTGCTTCCCATAGTTCTGTAACTTTAAAATAGACATAAAAATGTCAAAATATTGGGTATTTTTGTGTTGTAGAAAATATTCAATGTTAACTATATTAATATTTGTAATACTGGAGATAGCAGGGTCATTGCTAAAGTTCACAGGGCCTGGGACAAAACATTTTATGGGACCTCTCCCCTCAATAATTATTTATTGTATCACAAACCTCAAATACACAATTAGTAGGCTATAATAGCAGATATCTCATTTTATCATTCAGATAGAATGACATTCTTATATAGACAACTGAAATGCAATTATGGATATTCATTCATCAGCCAAACCATTTTATATTAAAACTCTGTTAAAACTTATGTTAAAACCAAGTAGCTGTGTTTTGGAGCATGATAGCTGGTTCCTAGCTGGTCATTAGCTGGTGCAAGCTGGTTGTTAACTGGTTGTCCATGTTCAAAATCATCTTGGCCACTTTAAACTAGTGTGACAAGATGGCTTGTTTATTGCTATTCCAAGATGATTGACCAGTTTGCACCAGCTAATGGCCAGCTTGAATCAGCTAATGACCAACTACAAACCAGCTACCATATTACAGCAAGCCATCTCAGATGGATTCTTCCAGCAGGGAAGGGCTTGCCATGAATTTCATGGGTGTGTGAATCCCAGAAGGCTGTCATCATGGCTCATGACTGCTCATCTTAATGTCTTTGCTGTCACATAATAACGCAGGGCCACACAGAACGTTCCTGTTGAGAATTATTTGAGGACTTTAGCAAGGACAGTCGTGTTTTTCTGAGACTATGGTTACTTTCTGGACCTGTCTGGGAAATTTGAGCATCTTTTGTGCTGTGATAGTACAAGTGTCTGGAATCAACAGAACCTTCTACATTGGAATTCAAGAGGAAAATTGGAATTACGCACCGAGTGGCCATAATCTGATCATTGGGAAACCTATTGCAGTGGATGAGTGAGATTACTATTTATGTATTATATCATTTATTATTATTATTATTACTATATATTAATATAGAATATATTTACATTTTACACACACACACACACACACACACATTCTATAATCTTCTTTATTAATTACAATTCATCTGATTGAAACAGGACAAAACAGTAAATGTTTATATATTTATGCTTTTTTTTTAATTGTCCATAAAATGTATAGTGTGTTGTATATATACCGAGTATATATAAAATTCCTGTCAAAAGTATCTCTATATTCTATATTCACTCTTTTCTAGTTCATACAATGAAATTCGGCTGTCTGAATACATACAACATCAACTGGAAAAAAAAACCTATGTACTATCAGACACTATTATGCCTTTCTTGGAAACTCCAGACATGCCGTCACATGATTCATTTTGAGTTTTTTTTTTTTGGCATCCTCCCACCTGCACCTTTTGTCTGTACTCATCTACTAATCTCTGTAGCTGTTCTCTCTTTCTTGTTTACCCAGACAGTTTTGAGGATTGACCTTTTCTAGACAATATCTGGTAGTTTGATATACTGTAACTGTATTCATTTGGGGAATACATTTGATATAGCTTTCCTGGTAAATAATAAATAATTCCTTACATTTATATAGCGCTTTTCTGGGCACTCAAAGCGCTTTACATACCAAAGATCAACCACCACCAGTGTTAGGCCAGGATGCCGGGGTTACACCCCTACTCTTTTTCGAAGAACATCCTTGGATTTTTAATGACCACATAGAGTCAGGACCTCGGTTTAACATATCATCCAAAAGACGGTACTGTTTGTCAGTATACTGGGGCATTAGGACCCACACAGACCACAGGGTGAGCACCCCCTGCTGGTTTCACTAACACCTCTTCCAACAGCAACCTAGGATTCCCAAGAGGTCTCCCATCCAGGTACTGATCAGGCTCAACCCTGCTTAGCTTCAGTGGGCGACCAGTCTTGGGCTGCAGGGTGATATGGCTGCTGACACCAGTGCCCAATAAGAAATTTCCACCACCATCCTTGAATTTTACACACTAAATAAAAAGTGTTTCATTCATTCATAAATAGAGGCTTACTGAAGATAAAGACATATTATAAGATTTAAAAAAAATATTTCCCTGCATTTTTTGAGTTTTAGTAATTTAATATATACATTGCTCACAACACAACATATGTTATTTAACACATTTCAGTGATGGATTTGTAATGTTTAATGCCCAAAATACCTTTAAAAGTGTATTTTCTATGCATTATAATGGATTTATCGAAGTTGCGTATCCTTGAATTAACTATTTATTTTCAAATTTTATTTTACAATAATCTCCACCATTTCTTATAATCCCATTAGGTTTATAGGTATATTGGAAAATTGTCTTATCTTTCTCATGACTCAGGTATGCATCAGTATTCCTGCAGCGCGGGCCTCGGCGGATTGGCAGTGTGTACAAAAAGGCAATATACAAGCAGTACACGGATGCTTCTTATTCTCAAGAGATCCCCAAACCCACCTGGCTGGGCTATTTGGGCCCCATACTGAGGGCCGAGGTCAATGATATCATCATCGTGCACCTGAAGAACTTCGCCTCCAGACGTTACTCCATGCATCCTCACGGTGTCTTCTATGCGAAGGACTCAGAAGGTAAAACCTAATTCTCTGTCATTCGCTTCTTATATATTTCAAATATTCCACTTTTGCTTGTGTTGACTTCCTCCTGTCTCCACTAGGCGCGCTGTATCCAGACGGAACCTCGGACACTCTGAAGAAGGATGACGGGGTTCCACCGGGTGGAAATTACACCTACATCTGGACTGTGAAGCCAGATTATGCTCCTCAAAAGGGTGACGCCAACTGCCTGACATGGGCCTACCACTCCCACGTCAGTGCTTCACAAGACATTTCCTCTGGGCTTATTGGAGCCCTTCTCACCTGTAAGAAAGGTAAAGCTTCAGCAGACATTCTCATTGTCAGAAAAAAAACACATTTTAGATAAAGGTCAACTAGAGTTGCTTTAAATGATTAGTTCCCCCAAAAATTGTTACTCACCCTCATGTTGTTCCAAACCTGTGAGATCTTCGTTCATCTTCTGACCACAAATTAAGATATTTTTGATGAAATCCCAGAGCTTTCTGGCCCTGCATAGACAGCAATGCAACTGACACCTTCAAGGCCCAGAAAGGTAGTAAGGGCATCGTTATAATAGTCCATGTAATGGCAGTGGCTCAACCGTAATGTTATGAAGCTACAAACTTTTTGTGCGCGAAGAAAAAATAATTACTTTATTCAACAATTTCTTCTCTTCCGTGTCAGTCTTCGACATGCGTTCATGAGAGTACCATGACACATGCATGTGCCGGCGTTCTGACATACAACTCGGATGTGCTGCTCCTTGTTCTCAATCAGAGCAAAGCACACATATGCATTGTGGTGTTCTCTTGAATGTGGGACGGAGACTGACATAGAAGAGAAGAAATTGTTGAATAAAGTTATTTTTGTGTTTTCTTTGTGCACAAAAGTATTCTTGTAGCCTTATAAAATTAGACTGCATATACTGAATAGCATATTAAATCAAAATGTCGCTCTCAGGAACCCTGCATACTTCAGATCACAATCAAAATCAACGTGCTGATGTGGACCAGGAACTTGTCCTCATGTTTAGTGTGGTGGATGAGAACAGCAGCTGGTACCTGAAAGAGAACATCCAGGCCTTCTGCTCTGATCCATATGGTGTCGACCCTGCCAGAGAAGATTTCCAAGAATCCAACATGATGCATGGTACATACCTGATTATTTACTATGAAGTACAATTGTCGCTGTTCAGACATTAAAGACAAAAAGAAAATGGTGTGGTGAGTTTTTCGCAATGGAAACACAAGTTACACAGTTTGAGTCATTATGTAATTTTTCACCCATTTTTAGCCATTAATGGGTACATGTACGGTAACCTACCGGGCACTGAGTTTTGCCAAAACCACACGGTTGCTTTGCATCTCTTTGGCATGGGAAACGAGATCGACATTCACTCTGTTTATTTCCACGGACACACACTCCTGGACCGCGGGCACCGTGTGGATGTCCTGAGTCTGTTTTCTGCCACCTTTGCCACTGCAGAGATGGTCCCTGCGACAATAGGGACGTGGCTCTTGAACTGCCAAGTCAACGATCATCTGAAAGGTAATTTTTGACCAAGCATGTTGATAAAATGACAACATAATAAGGACAAATAAATAAATAAATACTATACGGAGTAGAAAAACGGAATAATGGAAACCAAATTAAAAAGTAATATTTATATTGGTATAGTATAGGTCTTCATACATGAAAATATAAAGAAAGATTACTTGAGTTAAATAAGTTAATTTCATTTTTAAATTATTGTCAGATTTGATTGATTTAGAACAAAAAAGAAATGAACAAAATGTTGACCAAGCTTTTTCGAAATTTCAGTTTCTTTAAGGAGCTGTACTTACTGTACCTATGCCTACATGGAACATAGTTATGCTCTTCCATGTTGTCTTCCACAGCTGGTATGCAGGCCTTGTTCAAAGTTTCGTCCTGCAAGGATGAGATGAACTCCACAGTTCATCTTAGTGGGAAGATTAGGAAGTATTTCATTGCTGCTGAGAAGATTCGGTGGGACTATGCACCATCAGGGATGGACAAACTGACCAATGAGTCGCTGACCAAACCTGGGAGGTCTAACATCTGATTATAATTCACAATCACACATTTTACATAAACTTCAAACCATTATTAAAGTGAATATAAAGTTAATAATAATAATTCTTGGGTGTCCTTAGCGTTTCAGAGATGTTCTTCGGGATGAGTGGTGGCCGACTTGGTGGAAAGTATTGGAAAGTGGTTTACAGAGAATATACAGATAAGAGTTTCACCTTAAAGAGAAAACTAACCAGTGCTGAGGCTCATCTAGGCATTTTGGGTAAGATCTAAATCATTATAATGCCAATAATATTTTTAACTTCTGTTAGTTAAAAAGTGTTTTATGAGTTTGATTAAAACCTTTCAGTCACATTTAGTTATCATGGTGCCTGTAGGTCCGATACTGAGGGCCGAAGTTGGAGACACCCTTCAGGTGATGTTTATGAACAAGGCTGACAGAATCTACAGTATCCAGCCTCACGGACTCCACTATGACAAACCCTTTGAGGGTGTCTTTTATCAAGATGGTGAGACTTGATTTACATCATCTGGATAACTTATGCCAATCATCAAAGGTTTGTTAGGCCCTAGAGAGATAAATGTCTTTGAATGTACTGTAGGTATAAAAAGGAAAGGATATCAGGTTCAGCCAGGTGAAAGGTTCACCTACAGGTGGCAGTTGAGGGAGGGACCGTCTGAAAGTGACCCTCCCTGTATTTCCTACCTGTACTTCTCCTCCAGCGATCCAGTCAGAGACACCAACTCTGGTCTCATAGGCCCACTGCTGGTTTGTAAGAAAGATGCACTGGATTCCAATGGTGCTCAGGTAAAATAAGATTGGGTGCTGGATTGGCCCATGATTTTAAAATAATTACTTTTTATATGTAGATACACATGTATAATGTGATTTTTCTTACAGAAAGACATCAATCTGGAGTTTTTTCTGCTGTTTACTGTGTTTGATGAAAATCTCAGCTGGTACTTGAATCAGAACATTGAAACCTATGACACTAATGAATCAGAATTAGAGAATATGGAGTT